TTGCTTGACATCATCAAAAATATGACATGCAGACTGGAAATGGACCTTCCTGATCTTGGAATAATTTCAGTGGAGCCTACTTCCCTGCTCAAGGGTATTTTAAAAAGAAAACCTTATTCTCACAAAACACTTTGGGGAGCTGGCTCCAACTATCACCCGAGACCTGGGGTCTGACCCTTGGGTGTAGGCTGACCTGCAGCACCCTTGCCTGGGGTGTGATTCTAGCTGGCAGGGGCCCTCTCTGCCCCCCACCCATCGTTCGTCTTTTCTCCCGTTTCTCCCATGATTTCCTCTTGGTCGTAGCCCAGTTTAAGTGTCAGCATTTTTCTATAACTGGACCAGTGGATTTTCATGTTAGTGCCAATTCAAATGCCCTATCTCTTCTCTGAACTCTTAGGTCACTAAATATCTAGATCATTCGACAATTAATTAACTGCCTCTGGCACTTCACCCCATGGCTTTTAAAACAAGATATATATTTCAACTTCTCCATCTTTGTTTCTTGGCTTCACAGTAGGAAGACCAGCTCTATGTGGGCAGGGAAGGTGATTTCTGCTTCTCTCTGTGTGTCTCTGGCATGTAGGACCATGCAATGAATATTTACTGCCTTACAAATTTAATTGGCATATGATTTCTTGACAATAAAATGATGACTTTTTAAGGCAGAGAAGACATTATCTTGGCTGAGCGTGGGGAGGAGAGGCTGTGAAGCACGTTGGGTTATTTTGAGGGCTTTGATGCCAGACAGCGTAGGTTTGAATCCTGGCTCCTCGTTTATTGATTATATGATTTTAACAATGATGGCATCTCTGCCTCAGTTTCCCCTTCCATAAACTGGAAATCACAATAGCACTTGACCAAGCCCCTAAAACGGGAACACAGGAAGCCTTCTCTACATGTCAGCTGTCACAAGTTTATTATTTCTTCCCAATAATCATAATTTTCTTATGAAACACGTATGGTTGACACACAGGTGGACTTCACCTTATCTAAGTTTTGTCTCGGTTACCAAATTCTTAGCTTTAAAAAATGAATTATCTGAATGATTGTGATTCCCTCCCCCCCCATTACATAATAAGTATAAGCTGAAGGAACAGAAAAGAAGCTGACCAAAACCAATAAAACCAATTAAAGCATGGAATGAATCAGTGTTAGCAAAAAAGAAGGGCCTGAAGGAGCATCAGGAAGGCTGCCAAATAGATCTATTAAGTAAAGGAGAGAGGAGAGAGAGAACCATCCATTAAAATTAATTAAAAGTTTTTAATTGTTGTCATGCTGACCTCATGCTCCAAGTGCCAGATACAAAGAAAAGTAATGCGGATAACTGAGTGGTCATGACATTTTTCCAACTGGCCACTTTCCCCTTAACCAGACCGAGCCTGTCTCTTCCATCTCGCCCTCGTGGGCTCCTTGGATCAGGACCCAGCTCATGGCTCAGATTCCTCTTTGCTGAAAAGAGGGGAAGTCCCGCGGCCTGGGGGTCGGCTTTCTGGGCCCACCTCCCACATTCTCATCCATCAGCGGGTCCTCCTGTTCGTGCTTTGACAATGCACCCTGATACCCAGCCCTTCGCCCCCACGCCGAGCCTCTGTTTCCACCTGGAACTACGGTGGTTTGCCAGGTGGTCCCATTTCCACTCTTCTATTTATCATCCTCTGAAGTTGCCTTGTCTTGACTTTTCTACTTGTTTTCTCATGTTTTCCCTGTTAGCCCATGAACGTCTCAATCACCAGTGGCTGGCACCGGCGTGGCCCAGTCAGTACTTCTTGACTGAATGGAAGGAGCTGGGACGAGTTGCCTTCTTAAGCAAAAGGCTTCTCCCTCCACAAGGGAAATCCGCTCTGTAGATACGGAAGTGGGCCCCTTCGTAGGTCAACCGGGCAACATTTTGCTAAACTCATTTCACTCATAAGACTTCAAAATTATGAAAGGTAGTCATACTCTTCTTTTTAAGTGTGTCATTTGTGTTTTTCACATCCAGGAGCTGAAGGCAGAGAGTGAAATATTCTCATATCGGGCTGCCCCATCCTATGGGGATTCTGGTGGTCAAGCCCTTCCCACCTCGTTCTCAGCAATTGCATTCAGCCTCTGAATGTTTGTATACAATTCTGCTTCCCTGAGATAGACTCTTGGGTATACAACGGTATTGTACAAGGGTTGGCGTCACTCCCTCCGCCACATTTCTGACCCTCATGGGAATCGTGAATCAGGTCATCACGCGTGGTACAGAGCCTCCTGTCGGGAAGGGGCCCAGGCTGCTGCTTGTACAAGGTAGGTCTGTTCTGCAGCACCGGCTCGTCCCCAACGTCACTCAGTCCAGAGGCTGGCTGCACAGAGCCTGGCTTGGCTCAGGAAGCACCGGCGAATGAGATGGGTCAGTTATATCCCATCCACTCCCCCTGGAGTTTGACCTGGGAAACGTGGACAGAACAATCAGTAGAAGTTGGAAGGTCTTGGGGAAGGGAGGAGCCTGTGGGGCTGGGAGCAAATCAGAGTCATGAGGACACAAAAGCAGAAGCGCTGAGCTGAAGGAAGGATGCACAGGGTGGCGGGCAAGGAAGCCACTAGAAGCTGAAGAGATGGGGCAGACGCTCGGAGGGAAGCAGAAACCTGGAGGAAGGCTAGGTCAGGGTAGAGCTGGAGTGCTGGACGCGAGCTCCCGGCTTCCTGCGGCAGGGGCTCCTGGAGCGCCATGGCGGGTACCTTGGGTTCGCAGAGACCTTCCTGTTCCCGTCTCCAGCATCCTAGGTCAAGGCGTGCTCCGATTTCCGTGAGATTCTGCTTCCCTGGTTTGTGCCTCACTGCCTGGGCCACCCTGAGGGTCTTGCTGTTCTTTATGGGCTCACAGGGCAAGAAACCAAGAGTCACCACCGTCACTGGGTCCCTATTAGCCCTGTGTGTGTGTCAGGGAGGGGTGGGGGGATGGGGCGGTCCAGGAGCTTTCAGGGCACTAACTTCTGCTCAAAGGCTCTGCTAACATCCGTGGGGGTGGTTCCATTCCTTAAGGATCTGGGCTCTGTTTTCTTTTTTTTCCCACGTATCCTCCAAATTACATGTATATGAGCATCTATAACTGTATTTTGTATGTAACATAAAATATATAAATACATATAATATAACATAAAAGGAACATAAAAACATATGTATCTCTCTGTATACACATATATATTACAACTTGGTCAGGAGCTAAAGTCTAAAGTGGGTCTTAAGTTAAAATTGTATATAGTTAAAATTATGCCTGAGAACCCTTCAAGTACCCACAGAACACACACATATGATTTTGGATATGAAACTACAGCTTATCTGGTAATGGTAAATATAAATGCAAGGAAGCAGCAGTCGCCCCCTCCCCACAGAACTCTTGCTGAAATAGATGCAGATGAGAAAAAACAGATTCTGGTTCCCACCCCCTGCCAAACTGTGACCGTAACTTGCAAAGACTTTTTCCAGCCCAAGTGACAATTGATTAATTCCTCCCGGCAAATGAATTGCTGTGCCGTTCCCTGAAGTCAGATATCCTCTGAGAATATTTTAATTGGAACCCTCATGACTTTCCAAAGATTTGAGATAGTCCTAATAATTGGCAGATATATAACAGCTTCATTAAAATGGCAAAAAAAATCATAGAAAGGGGGAAATAAATAACCTGAAAAAAATGAGGCTGGTATAATTCCTATACTGGACATTTGAACTTTGAGCTTCCTGGAAGTCAAGGGGAAAAGGGAAAATACTAGACAAGAATTCTATAAATTAATCAAAAGAAAGGTTCTCTGATGGCACTATTTAAAAAAATTTAAAAGTCACTCATAATTTCATAGTAGTGATATTATTATTTTTGCTTTTATACATTATATTCTAGTCCTTGTCTGCAAGCAAAATAATTTCATTTAAAAAATATTTAAATAGGCAAGACTGTCACATCGTTTGAAAATAGGAAAGTGTGAAAAATAAACAGTGAGAAGGTTTGTTCCCATCCTTGTCATACATTTGCCCAGACTCAACTGCCCTCAACCTCTCCCCCGTTTTGTATCCATCTAGAGTTTTTATGCATTTTCATCATCAAATACAGATTCTTATCCCTGCCTGCTTCCTGCATTTTGATTTGTTTCATTTAACAGCGTATCTTGTGGACTTTTGCACATTAGTAGGAAAGCCTCCTCATTCCCTGTCATAGCTGCCAGATAGCTCATCCTTCAGATGTGCTATGACTCACCAGGGCCCCTATTATACCATTTTCATTTGGCTTGTTTCTTTCATTCTTTCTTTTTTCTTTTCTTTCTTTCTTTTCTTTTCTTTTTTTTTTCTATTAGAATTGAAGCTAGGGAGAATAACCTCACAAGTAGGTGATTTCATGTATGTGCACATATATGATAAATCCCTGAAGCCAATTGCTGGATCAAGGGGTAAATGCATTTGTGAATTTGATAGCTCTCAGCTAAATTGCCCTCCAAAAGGTTTCTGGCAACTTCGCGCTTCTACCAGCAGCGTCAGGAGGTTGAGTTGCCACATAGTATCTGTGTACTCCAGACCCAACACCCTCCTGCTAACTTCTAAGGAGGAAGGAAAAGGAATGTGGAAGAGAAGAGCTGTGTATCAGGCCCCTCCCATGGGTCAGACACACGCTTTATACACGTTTGATGCTTACTATTTCCCTGATTCTTACTAATGAGACAATTTTGTCTCTGCGGTTAAGGGCTTTTGCACAGTGACTCAAGTGAGTGGGAGGGAAGGGTCCCAGCCCCGCAGCTGACTCTGAAGCCGGTGTGGGTTCCTGTGCACCAGAGCCCTGGTAGGCGGGAGGGCATCTCAGCAGAGCCCTGGTCTCTTCCTGACCTGGTTTCAGCTTTCATGGACCAGCAGAGCTCTTACTGTCCCAACTATTTTATTTTCCTGCCTGCATTGAACTTCAAGTGTCACAACTCAGCCCTGCTTAGAGGAAGCCCTGGCCACCCTCGTCCCTCTTCCATTTGGCCCCCTGCCCAGGTCCCAGCCCTGGCCTCTCACAAGTGACTTCTGAGGGTGGAGCAGGGCTCCTCCCGGTGCCCCTCTCCCAGAAGCGCATCCAGCCAGTCCTCCAGGTCCTGCACCAGCTGCTCCAGCTCTCGCACCTCTTTCTCTAGCTTCTCCAAGAACACATGCAAGTTCTCCTTCAGCCAGGTCTGGATGACCTTGATTGGCTCTTCCGAGGGGTCATGGGTCTGATATTCGAACGCCTGAAAGGCAGACACCAAAGCTGTACCTTGAGCTTTTTCACGGGAGCCCCTTGCCGCTGGCTCTAAAAGTTCCCTGGATCTTTTTGCACATGCTGTCCATTCTGCCTGAAGTGCCCCCTCCTGCCTTCTCCACTCGGCCAGCTCCTAGCTATCCTTCAAGACCCAGCTCGTCAACAATACCTATGGGAAGCCTCAGATTTCCTCAGCCAAGCTTGATGGCCCTCTGCACCTTCTTGAATATGTTACCTGGGAAGTCATAGGATTCTGCGGGTAGTTACATTCTCTGATTCTTTCTGACACCTCCCAGCTTCTTCCTGAAACAGGCACGAACACCACCTCTTAATAAGGCAAAGGAGCAGGAGTTGGATGACTCGGTTGGTCATCCTAGTGGGATGAAGAGCGTGGGAGAAGGCAAGCAGTGGAGTTCCCCCTGGCATACAACCATCTGCAGAATACCCGCCTCCCCCCGCCCTCAGCTCCGTGTGGACTTGGCTCCTCCCTCCACAGACCCCAGAATGCTCACCTGAGATCCCTGTGCCCACATACAGCACTAAGATCAGCAACGCCAACAGCGTCTGGGGGCAAGAAGAGGAGGAGGGTGGAGGTGAGTCCCTGGAGGCTATACGGGCATCCGTGCTTCCCCCCGCAGAGCGCTAGGCTTGGGGCTGCTGCAAGATCCCTGTTACAGCTTCACTTTTTTCTGGTTATCTAAGCCACACGTGCTTACTGCAAACCCTCCAAACACTGCAGAATTAGACACCACGGCGACTTATGTTTCATTGGTTCTGTCCCTCCTTCCTCCCTGCTGAGAAGGAAGGCCCACCTCTGTTCTTGTGCCTTGCCTCACTCTTATGTTTTCTGTTTTAAATGATCTTTAAAAGGAGTCGACTTTACTGTGGTATAATTCACATATGATAAAATGCACATTTTAAACGTACAGTTTGATGAGTTTGGACAAATGCCTGTACTTGGGGACTGCCGTCTCAGTCAAGACACAGAACATGTGCATCACCCTAGAAGGTGCCTTTGTGTGCTCTCGTGGTCACCCTCTCCTTCCCCCCATCCTGCCTTGGGGATCCGCTGATCTCCTCTGTCACCAGGGAACAGTTTTTCCTGTCCTGTAACTTCCCTAAATGAAACCACACATTACATACTTTCTTTGTTGAGTTACTTTTACTCGACATCATGCATCTGAGATGTTTCTGTGTTCAAGGTGATGGATGAATGTTATTATATTGTATGAATATAGCACAGTGAATCTCTTCACTTATTAACGGACTTTTGGGTTGTTCCTACTTTCCGGCCATTGGGAATAGAACTACTATGAGCACTTGGGGACAACTTTTTGTGCGTCAGGGGCAAACAAAGGGGGATGGAGAATTAAGGTGGCCGCGGTAGTGACTGGCATTGAATTTTCCCCTAGATGTGGGCTGAGCCAGATTTAATTTGACTTGAAATAATACATTGCTTAGGTACCTGGGTTTGTGAAGCAAGATTTAGACCGGCTAGCACAAACAAAGGAGATAAGAGATTTGCATACTTTGCCCCTCCCGCGGAACGTTTTGTTTTTAAGTATATACTAGCAACTATACTATCATTATTATTAACTTTAAAAATAAACGTCGATGACACAGCAACAACGTGGCTGAGTCTCCCAGACACACTGATGAGTGAAAGCAGCCAGACGTGAAGGTGCAGACTGTCTGACTCCACTCCCATGAAACTCAGGGACGTGCGAAAGTCATCTGTGATGATGGAAATCAGAATTGAGGTTATGGGGCAGGGGGAAGCTGGGAGCGGCCTGGAGGAGCCTTGGGGCACTGGGCATGCTCTGTAGCTTGATCTAGGTAGCAACTGCCCGGCTGTGTACACCCGGTGTGAAATCATTGCACACTTCAAACTAGGGAACTTTTTTCTCCTTAAAAAAAAAAAAGAGTTAAAAAATTGAATTATGGTTGATTTATGACGTTGTATTAGCTTCTGGTGTGCAGCATAGATACATATATGTATTCTTTTTCATTACAAATTACTACAAGCCATTGAATATAGTTCCCTGTGCTGTACAGCAGGACCTAGTTCTTCATCTACTCTGTACGTAGTAGTTTGTATCGGCCAATCCCAACTCCTAATTTATCCCTCCCTCCCTCCTTTCCCCCCAGTACTTTTTTCTCTTCTTAACAATATACCCCAAGACTCTTTCCCTCTAGGACACATAGAACCGCCTCATTCTTTATGGCTGCTGAGCATTCTGGGGTCTGAACGCTCCTCTGTTTCCTTAACCACCTGTCAGTGTGCTTTACAGATGCTGTCTTCACCAGCACGCTTGCAGCTAGGCTTCTATTTTGTGCGGTGTGGAGGCAAAGGGAGGAAACGGGGATGAGAATTAAGTTTTAGTCCTTCTCTTGTGCTGGGCTGGGGCCTGAGCCAAATCATTTCTTCTGAGTCTCAGTTTCTTCATCTGTAAAATAAATTTCAGTATAGGCTGAAAGAGCTTTCCAAAAGTAAACGTGGGACTTCGTAGTTGAATCGGTTTGGGAAATGCTGCGGCAAACAAAGTTATGTGGATTTCCTTGCTGCAGGACTTGTCAGAGCCTTCATTATGTGACTGAACTACGTAAATCTCCAGGAGGGGTACAAGGGTATCAGCATTCCTCAAACCACAGATCTTTTAAAATGACTTTTCTAAAAGGAGCATTCCTGGGGTTTGGTATTTGTGGCACACTTTTTAGGAAAACCTGCAACATAATGGAAGCCCCGCAAGGCCCCTATCTTGCTGTGAGGTCCAGCATAAAGGAGGCCTTGGAACGTGTGTCTTAAACGTATGAGTGGACAAATCTTTTGGAAGCATATATAGATCAGTCATCCATCGCTCTGCCTAGAACCCTTCAATGGCTGCTTACTAATCTCAGAGTAAAACCCCATCCCTTTCCACAGCGTGCAAGACCCAGCCTCTTTTTCCATCCATCCCTCACGTCTCCACCTGGGAGGCAGTGGAGTACAGGGTAGCTTTGCTAAGGGTTTTGGAATCAGATGGACCTGGTTTCAGATCCCAGTATGTCCCTGCTGTCTGGATTTTTGGCCTTTCTGAGCTTCAGTTTGCCCATTTGTGAGTTAGGTTGATAATAGTTGCCTCTTGAAAATATCTTTAAGTCATGAGTGAGGAGGTAACAGCAGCAGGCTGTGCTTGGAAAGTGCTAACATTTTCCATTTTGAGAAAATCCTACGTGGGGTTTGAATTTTAACCCTAAGAACAAATGCTCCAGGACCTCCCAATTCAGGTTACTCTCCTATTTATTTTAATTAATTAATTCATTCATTCATTCAGCACCTATTATGCACCAAACATCCTTCTACGCACTAGGAACATAGCAGAAAGCTACATAGAAAACCCATCGCTCCTGGAGCCTACCCCCTGCCGGCAGTGTGGAGAATTAATAAGCATCAGTAATGGCTTCTAGAAAAAGCTCTGTGAGCCCCTATACTGTGTTCCACCAGGCTGGGCTCCAGGGAGAGTCCGACTGAAAGCTCGCTCCTGACTTTGAGGGCCTTACGGTCTGCCTGGAGTGGCGGAGGGAGCCCAGGAGCCAGGAAAGCAGAGTACACCTGGTCTGGCCTCACCTGCTTCTTGTCCTCGCTGCGACTGCTCCTTCTCTCAGCTGCCACTTGCCCCCTGCTGCCCACCTGCTGGATCACCATGGCCTCAGGTCAGGCCGCCTGGCCAGATCCCCACTGGACAGGCAAATTGGTACCCTCCCCGCCCCTCCCCCGGCCTCTGGTCACCAGGCATCCCCGCAGCAATGGGTTCTGATGTCACAGAAGGTGGGGACAACGAGGCCCCCACCCTGTCACCACCCTGATTTTTAACTCCATCCCTCTTTTTTTTTTTTTCCCGTAAAAACAAATACCAGAAAGAAATGCATCGAAGGACTGTATTTTAGGATGATGTTTTTTTCTGATCCTTTTTCTGTATTTCCAATTTTTAATAAAATGCAAGTTTTAAAATACAAAACAAAAAAAAAGTATTTTTAATTGAAATCTTTACTGAGGTAATTGTAGATTCACATGCTGTTGTAGGAAATAATGTAAGAGACCCTGCATACCCTCTGGTGGTAACAATCTATCAGTCTTATTAAAACCTCCCCAGTTTCACTTGTGTTCATTTGTGTGTATTTAATTCTAAATAATTCTGTCACATGGGTAGATTTGTGTATCCACTACAACAGTCATAATACAGAAGAATTCCCAAACCGCAGGGTCCCTGTGTTACCCTCTGAGGCCCGCCCCTCCCTCTGCCCGCCTCCCTCACTGTCTCTAATTCCTGGCATTCCTAGAAACCACTAATCTGTTGTCTATTTCTAAAATTTCACCTTTTCAGAAGTGTTGTATCAGTGGAATCAAATGGTCTGTGACCTTTGGAGACTGGATTTTTTGTACTTAGCATAATTCTCTGGAAATTCATCCTGATTGTCATGCATCTGTAATTCATTCCCCTTCCTTCCTTCCTTCCTTCCTTCCTTCCTTCCTTCCTTCCTTCCTTCCTTTCCTTCCTTCCTTCCTTCCTTCCTTCCTTCTTTCCTTCTTTTCTTCCTTCCTTCCTTTCTTCCAACTGTATCACAATTTATTTACCAATTCCTATTTTTAGGCCATTTCTATTTCTTTTTTTTTAATTGAAGTTAATCAATTACAATGTTGTGTTACTTTCTGGCATACAGCATAGTGATTCGGTTATACATATATGTATTCCTTTTCATTATAGGCCATTATAAGGTATTGAATATAGTTCCCTGTGCTACATACTCCCCTTTCTTTCTGTGTCGTATTGCATGGCAGGGATGTGCCACAGTTTACCATTTACCCACTGAAGGACCTCTGGGCTCTCTCCAGTTTTGGGCGCTTATGAATAAAGCTAATATGCACACTCTTTACAGCCATACTTTGGTTTATTGCACTTTGCAGGTACTGTGGGGTTTTTTTTGTTTTTTTTGTTTTTTTTTACAAATTGAAGGTTTGTGGCAACCCCGCATGAAGCAAGTCTATCGACATCATTCTTTCCAACCTCTTGCTCATTTAATGTCCCTGTGTCACATTTTGGTAATTCTCACCATATTTCAAATCTTTTCACTATTATCGTATTTGTTATGGTGATCTGTGATCAGTAATCTTTGATATTACTACTACAACTTGCTGAAGGCTCAGATGATGGTTAGCATTTTTATAGCAATAAAGTATTTTTTAATTAAGGTGTGTACATTGTTTTAGACATAATGCTTTTGCACACTTATAGACTACAGTATAGTGTAAACATAACTTTTATATGCACTGAGAAACCAAAAAAATGTTTGTGAGTTGCTTTATTGTGATATTCACTTTATTGCTGTGGTCTGGGACCAAACCTGCAATACTTCTGATGTATGCCTGTACAGGTTTTCGTGTGAACCTAAGTTTTTATTTCTCTGGGATGCCTAAGAGGGCAGTTGTTGGATTATATGGTTATTGCATGATAGTTTTATAAGATGCTGTCAAAGCATTTCCTAGAATGGCTGTACCATTTCAACATTCTCATCAGCAATGTATGAACAATACAGTTTCTCCTCATCCTCACCAGCATTGATGGTTTCATTATTTTTTATTTTAGACATTTTAGTAGGTATATAGTGATATCTCATTGCAGTTTGAGTCTGCATTTTCTTGATAGCTGATTATGTTGAACACCTTCTCATGTGCTTATTTGCCACCTGTATCTCCTCTTCAGTGAAATGTCTGTTAAAATCTGCCCATTTTCTAATTGGATTGTGTTTTCTTTCTTTCTTTCTTTCTTTCTTTCTTTCTTTCTTTCTTTCTTTCTTTCTTTCTTTCTTTCTTTCCTTTCTTTCTTTCTTTCTTTCTTTCTTTCTTTCTTTCTTTCTTTCTTTCTTTCTTTCTTTCTTTCTTTCTTTCTTTCTTTCTTTCTTTCCTTCCTTCCTTCCTTCCTTCCTTCCTTCCTTCCTTCCTTCCTTTCTTTTTTACAGCTGAGTTTTGAGAGCTCTTTATATATTTCAGATCTTTGTCCCTTTTTTGGGTGTACAGTTTGTAAATATTTTCTCCCAGCCTTAGCCTGTCTCTTCATCTTCTTCACATAGATTTCTGCAGAGGAAAAAGTTTTAATTTTGATGAGGTCCAAGTTATCCATTTTATTCTTTTGTGAATCATGTTTTTTTTTTTGTATGTCAAATCTAAGAACTCTTCACTAGCTCTAGAAGCAGATTTTCTCCTATTTTAAAAAAGTTTGATAGGTTTACGTTCACATTCCAGTCCTGTTTGGAGTTAATGCATATCAGGTGTGAGGTTTGGATCAAGGTTCACTTTTTTGCTTATGAATGTCCATTTTGCTTCAGCACTGTTGGTTAAACACATTGTCCTTCCTCCTTTGAATTTCTTTTGCATCTTTGTCAAAAATAATCTGAGCATATATGAGTGGGTCTATTTCTGGGTTCTCTGTTCTGTTGCGTGAGTCTGTGTATCGATCCCCGCACCAACACCAACCATCTGGATTATAGCTATACAGTTAGCCTGAATGCTGAGTAGAGTGATTTCTCCCACTTTGTTTTTCTTTGTCAAGATGGTTTCAGCACTTCTAGGGCCTACAGCTTTCAATATAAATGTTAGAATATGATGTCTATGATTACAAAAAAACCTTGCTAGCAGGAATTTTGACAGGAATTGCATTAAACCTACAGATCTCTTGGGGAAGAACTGTCATCTTTACTATGTGTCTTCCAACCTGTGAACACCATTTATTTAAGTTTTCTTTGATCAGCATTCTGTAATTTTCAGCACACAGATCCTATATGTGTTCTATTAAGTGTGTATTTAAACATTTCACTTTCTTTTGGGCATCCTTCATATTTTAAAAGCCTCCATCTACCAGAGAAATTTCATGTGTTCAGAAATCATTAATTTTCAACATTTTGATGAGCTACCTTTCCCAAAGGTGCTCAATGAAACACCTACTATGTGCTAGGCATTTCACTAGTTTATTATTACATCTTCTTCGGGCTATAGCTCTGTAGGTAGCTGGGGATTAAGTCTGTTTTACTAGCCATTGTATCTCTGAATCCCATTATGCAGCCTGTTGCTACAAAATGTTCAGTAAAAATATTTGTTGAATGAATGAATAATGAGCAACGTCACAACTGTGGGTTCTGAGAGGCCATGAGCTGTGTCTGGTGAATACATTTTTGTATTTCATAGTACTTGGATCTGTAAATATTTGCTGAATGAGTAAAGCAGGTGGTATGGTTTTAATTTCACCAGTGAAGAGGCTGAGCAGCCAAGGAAAGATATTAACCGTAGTAACTGTCATGTACTGAGCATCAGCTGTGTTCTAGGCCCCAAGCAAGTGCTTTCCATGCATTGTCTCATCTAATCCTCGTAGCTGCCCTGCAAGATTGGAGCTGTCAGTCTTTCTGTCTGGATGTTACTTTGCTTGTTCAAGATCATACTCTCTACTAGGGGCCTGAGTGCAGGTCTGTTTAACTCCAAAGCCTTTTAGTTTACCCCAAAGGGTTAATGTAATTTCAGCCAAAAGCAAAGAAAGTTTCTATTCTTGTTATCCTTTGTGGCTTTATTGTGGGTGAGTAGATGTGGGAATCTTTCAAAAGACGTTAAACTTTTGAAATATCAAAAGTAGCTATATCCCCTCCTCCGTCTCCAATTCCATGGCGACCCCAGTTTGGTACCCAGGGATTTCAATCTCCACCCCTTCTTCTTCTTCCCCCTTCTTCTGTGCATCCTTATTATCATCCTAAGAGATTTCAAGAAATTACTGAGTATGGAGCTCTGTGCGAAGTGCTTTGTATGTATTGACTTACTGTAGTGTGATTTCAACTCTGGATGGTAAATAATATGATTATCCCCATTTTACAGATGAAGAGACTGAGGCTCACAGTGGTTAAGTCCCTTTCCCAAAGTGACACAGCTAGTGAGAAGCGCTGTTGAGATCTGAACTTCGCGGGTCTGATTTGAGCACCCAGGCTCTTGATGGCCATGAGACACTGCCCCTTCCATGGGGAAACTTGAGACTAGAAAAAGAAAGGGATCACCCAAGCCAGTCAGAAAAAAGGAACCAGAACTCAACTCTCTTGCTCCCACCTGGGACTCTTCAAAAGGCCATCTGCATCATTTCTGGGGTCCTGCATGTGGGCAGCTACTGGCTTCTTGGGCTTCACCTTGCGGAAGCGTTTCAAATGTGAAATGCAGATACTCAAGGACTGCCCATTCAACTAATCACAGCACATCGAAAGGAACGAATTACAGCCATGGAAAGAGATGATAACCAGAAACATTTTCCTGGAAACCCAATGAATTCTTCCAGGAAACTGCTCTAAAGAGCAGCTATGAGTTGGGGAGCTTCTGGGATTCGTTCTGAGGGCCATTTCCTGGGGCCGGGAGGAGAGGGACGCCGAACTTCCCTGCCCGATCCTCAGAGCGCACGCCCAGAAGCTCATGTGCGTGGTGTGGGCTGCGGGCTGGGGCAGGGTTTGGTAGGTGCCGGGCGAGGTGCCTCCCATCCTCCCCCGCCAGCCAACGCTCCTGCTACTCGGTACAGGAAGCGGGAGGGGATGAGAAAGGCGGGAGGGGCAGTGGACGAGGGAATCAGGCTTCCTGAGTGAATGGGGGAGTGAATGGGGGAGGGGAGGGAATGAATGGAAAATGTGTGGGTGAAAAAAGAATTCCAGGCAAATCACTAATCGAAAAATTACACCTTATGAAGGGAGCCGTCTGCCCTATACGTAAAAGGCAGCGATCAGTCAGAGCTCTGTGCGTGACTTCTGCCTCCCAAACAC